TTGACAGTAAGGCGATTCGGTTTGCCACCCAGAGTTTCCCAGCGGTTTTCTTAGCACCTGGGGTCAGTTAATTGAGTGTCCTGCACAAGGGGTCATGGTTACTGTTTAATTCAACGGTCAGACTGCACAATTGCATCTGTCGGCGCCCCGCCACCCCCCCCCCCCCCCTCGTGAGCACTACGGAGCATAAACTTGTTTTAATGATCAGCGTGCCGTAGGGATACAGAGGGCTACGATAATCAATGGCTAAAGAAAACAAGGGGTGTCCTCCAGCCGCCTCGGTTGCAGTTTACAGTTGGGCGCCCAAAATCTTCCCATTATGATTATGTTATGAAACAAGTTGTAGGTATGCCCTTTGGGTCAGTAATTTAGCCATCCTAAGTATCGAAGACACAGAAGCAGCTAAACTAAAATGGACTTCAAGGAACATATTATTCACTTTACAAACTTATAAGAAAGAAAAAAACAAATCTAAATAAATCATGACTTACTTTTAAAAAATTGTATTTGGTTAGTGGGGTCACAAGGTACGATGTCACACGGTGCGTTTAGTGAGTGTCACCCCCACCCCGTCTAACAAGTTTGCATTTCCGATGGCGTGTTACCCCCTCTCCTTAATATTTTATTATTTAAACTGTATTAAAATAGTTTTGACAGTAAATTTTACGAGTTTTCGTTATGGTATCACGCGTAAATTGTGAGGCCCCTGTCCTGTGACGCTACTGTGTTAGGTTACTTAAATGTTTCAGGCTTACGGTTAATTTTTACTTTCTCGTATATACATAGTATAGAGAAAGTATTGTAATCGTGCAAAAAAAAATCGAGATTTTTACAAATCTCGACGTTTTACACCTCACTGATACGGAAAAACATAATTTTGCAATCTTGTCCGTATGTCTGTGTGTCTGTGTGTGTGTCTGTGTGTGTGTGTGTGTGTGTAAACAGGATAACTTGAGTACCGTTACAGATAGGTTGATGAAATTTCATATATAAGTATTTTATCAAAATCGTAGATACTTATCAACTTTTGAGCGATTTTCGATAACCGGAAGTGGTACTTTTTCTACTTTGAATTTTTCAAAAGCCTATAACTTGAGTACTATTTCAGATAGATAAATGAAATTTCACATGTAAGTAAAAGATCTAATTCTCTACCTTCTGTTAAATTTTGAGTAATTTCCGTTGACGGGAAGTACTAATTTACGCTATTTCCGATTTCTCAAAAACGTATCTAAATTTATTAAGTACTAATAATATTGCGCACCATTATGAACATCTTTATTCGGCGTTCGCTTGGTGTGCAATACTTTTTTCTATGAGATTCTATTTTATTTTAAAAAGTTTATGTATTTAAAATGGATTAAAAATCATAACTATACCCCGAGTTCCCATCCCCTGTTGTTTTATATAAGAATATCCGAGAAAGTTTAGGGGAGATCACTCCCGGTTTATTAAGTTTGTTTTTTACATCAAAGTGATATAAAATCAAAGATATTTTACGCTACGGGGTACTACATAATAATACCGTATAAATACACAACCATGGAGTATAAAATACACAATTTACAGATTAACGTAGGGGCCCAATAAGAATTTTTGCATAGGGGCCCAAAAATTCTAGCTACGCCACTGGTCTAAAGATTAGATTTTGTTGTTTTCGTGTCAAATTGTAATATGCATCTTATTTTTTGTAGTGTGGGTGTGTGTCAGACCACATTTGTGTTTGTTTTTCATGATTCTTTTGATTTCTTTTGGATGTAGCGAGATTTCTGGTTGTTTTTTCTTTCCCCCAATTTTTGCTAGCTGGTCCGCGATCTCATTTTCTTGTATCTGGCATTGGCCCGTGATCCCTGTAGCACAATCTAGCTGCAGGTATTTTTGAGCTTTTCAAGTGCTGTCTGTAGTAATTGAGTATAGGAAACTGGATTTTTTAGGGATTGCAGGACAGATTTAGCATCTGTAAGAAAGACTATCTGACTGTCTGGAGATTCAGGGTGTTCTGGCAGGAGGTTTGCTGCATGCTCAAAAGCTTCTTTCTCTGCTCTAAAATTGTCGGATAGGCTGCCTGTGGCTATTGACTTTCTAAGCTTTCTCCGTTTAGCCATTCAATAACGACGCCAGCCCCGCCATTTTTTGTGGCATCTTCAGCTGAGCCATCTGTAAATACTCTAATCCAGGTATTGCTGGGGTACTGATCCTTAATGTGCTTGTATGTTATTTTCTAATTCTTTTTGATCGTAGTCAGATTTTTTTTCTATGGTATCTATTGAGTCACTGGTGGTTAATGTACGGTGAGAGATCCACAGCGGGGAGAGGTTTTGAGTTTTGATTGTTTCGCGGCTTATATAATAGATGGCTGTTTATATTATATTATAGATTATATTTATTTCATTCTATTCTTTACTCTGCTCAGCTCTGCTTTCTACTACACTATCCTGCTCTTTTTACTTTATCGTATATACGAAGTATAGAGAAAGTATTGTAATCGTGCACAAAAATCACTTAAAATTTTAACAATTTTCACCGTATTACACCTCAGTCCTTCATCACATCCGAAGTATAGAGGACTTATTTTAATCGGGCAAAAATTAACAATCCAGATTTATCAAAATTTAGAGGTTTTATACGTAATCCAGTCTGAAAAACTGGACTTTGCAATTCTGTCCGTATGTCTGTGTGTCTGTGTGTGTGTGTGTGTCTGTGTGTAAACACGATTACTTAAGTACCGTTACAGCTAGGTTGATAAAATTTCATATATAAGTATTTGATCAAAATCGTAGATCCGTATAAACTTTTGAGCGATTTCCGATAACCGGAAGTGGTACTTTTTCTACTTTGAATTTTTCAAGAGCCTATAACTTGAGTACTATTTCAGATAGATAAATGAAATTTCACAAGTGAGTAAAAGATCTAATTTACTACCTTCTGCTAAATTTTGAGTAATTTCTGTTTACCGGAAGTAGTAATTTACGCTACTTCCAATTTCTGAAAAAAAAAAATGTAAATTTTTAAAGTACTAATAATATTGCGCACTATTATGCACTTTTTAATTTTACATTCACTTAGTGTGCAATTCTTTAGTCTACGAGATTTTATTCTATTTTTAAAACTTTAAGTATTTAAAATGGATTAAAAATCATGTCTATAGCCCGAGTTCCCATCCCCTGTTGTTTTATATCAGAATATTCGAGAAAGTTTAGGGGAGATCACTCCCGGTTTATTTTCTCATGTGATCTCTTTTCTTTGCTCTTCTCTACTGGACTCTAATCAAATCTATTCTACTCAACTCCGCTCACCACCCCACCCCACCCCACCCCAACACACGCTTCGCCACGCCACGCTCCTGTACTGTACTGTACTGTACTGACTGTACTGTACTGTACTGTACTGTACTGTACTGTACTGACTGTACTGTACTGTACTGTACTGTACTGTACTGTACTGTACTGTACTGTACTGTACTGTACTGTACTGTACTGTACTGTACTGTACTGTACTGTACTGTACTGTACTGTACTGTACTGTACTGTACTGTACTGTACTGTACTGTACTGTACTGTACTGTACTGTACTGTACTGTACTGTACTGTACTGTACTGTACTGTACTGTACTGTACTGTACTGTACTGTACTGTACTGTACTGTACTGTACTGTACTGTACTGTACTGTACTGTACTGTACTGTACTGTACTGTACTGTACTGTACTGTACTGTACTGTACTGTACTGTACTGTACTGTACTGTACTGTACTGTACTGTACTGTACTGTACTGTACTGTACTGTACTGTACTGTACTGTACTGTACTGTACTGTACTGTACTGTACTGTACTGTACTGTACTGTACTGTACTGTACTGTACTGTACTGTACTGTACTGTACTGTACTGTACTGTACTGTACTGTACTGTACTGTACTGTACTGTACTGTACTGTACTGTACTGTACTGTACTCTACTGTACTGTACTGTACTGTACTGTACTGTACTGTACTGTACTGTACTGTACTGTACTGTACTGTACTGTACTGTACTGTACTGTACTGTACTGTACTGTACTGTACTCTACTGTACTGTACTGTACTGTACTGTACTGTACTGTACTGTACTCTACTGTACTGTACTGTACTGTACTGTACTGTACTGTACTGTACTGTACTGTACTGTACTGTACTCTACTGTACTGTACTGTACTGTACTGTACTCTACTCTACTCTACTCTACTGTACTGTACTGTACTGTACTGTACTGTACTGTACTGTACTGTACTGTACTCTACTCTACTCTACTCTACTCTACTGTACTGTACTGTACTGTACTGTACTGTACTGTACTGTACTGTACTCTACTCTACTCTACTGTACTGTACTGTACTGTACTGTACTGTACTGTACTGTACTCTACTGTACTGTACTGTACTGTACTGTAGCGTAGCGTTTGCTGTGCTGTGCTCATTCCATTCTTTTCCTTCCTCTTCCGTTTCCTTTTTAATAAGAATATATGTCTGATTTTTCGACAGGTGCATTAATCCAAAAAGGACTATTCGAGAGTGCAATACGTTGTTGAAGAACATTTCTTAACATGCGTTTTAATATGAAATTTATATCAGTACAAAACTTCATGAAATAGCTGAAATGAACCCTAAAATATTTATGTGATAAATGGGAATAGTATTCTTCAATTACTAAATATAACCTGCTATGTCGTTTCACTGTGCTCTGGAGAGTTGATTACCTAGAAATTTGTTTCTCGAGCTTTGGAGCTAGGCGTATCAAATATGAAATTATGCTATAATATTGATAAGACGTAACTGAAAATACGACACAGTAGCTCTTAATAAGTAATTTGATACATTAAAATGGACCCCTTAAAAGAATCAGCTACTAACGCAAATGTAGACGATTGTCTTGTATTAAGTAGTAATAATACAAAATATACCAATGAAACGGGAGAGACTGATTTAATGATAGCTTCAAAACGGGGACATCATAATTGCGTAAAGATGCTACTGCAAAGTCGATGTAAAGTAGGAAAATCCAAATATACCTCCAAGTTGTTAGCAATTGCTTTAAGTAAAAGAATTGATGTCAATGAAAAAATATTTAAAAGAGAACAAACTACATGGGTAACAGCATTTAATGAAAGTAACAAAATTTCAGAGCTACTGCTTAAAGGAGTACAATATGTATCTGAAAAGGATAGAAATGGGAAAGATGCATTAATGCATGCGACCGAATGTGGACACCTAGTGATAGTAGAATTGTTACTGAATTGTGGCAGTAAAGTAAATGAAGTTGACAATTGTGGATGGGATGCTTTAATGACAGCATGCGCATCTAACCGGAACCAAGTGGCTGAATTGCTAATTAACTGGGGCAGTGATGTAAATAGATGTGACAGATATGGCCAAACAGCTCTATATATATCTACTTTAAAAGGCTTTCCGCATTGTGTCGATATACTTTTAAAGAGAGGCTGTAATATAACTCAAGTGGATAAACAAGGGTTGAATGCATTAATGCTTGCATCCCGTACTGGACAGTATAAAATAGTACAACAGCTATTGAACAGCGTTATAGATCAAGCTGATGAAAATGGCAATACGTCATTAATTCTTGCATCGTTGCATGGGCATGATGAAGTTGTTAATCAGCTGCTTATTAGACGTTGCAATATAAAAATAAAAAACAAACACGGGCAAGATGCTTTAACAATAGCATGCCATAAAGGACATTACAAAGTAGTACAGCTGCTCCTTTCAGTACATAATGAGCTGAATTTTGATGAAGAAAAAATAGAAGATTCAATGTTATATAATGCATTGATCATTGCATCCAAGGCGGGACATGATACTATTGTTCAGCTACTACTTACAAAAGCTTCTGTTTTAAATCAGAATAACAAATATAGGTTTAACGCCTTGATGCTTGCTGCTAGCGATGGTAATGAAACACTTTTAAAATGCTTAATAAAAAACGGAACTGATTTAAATCAAGTCAACGAAGACGGGTTCAGCGCCTTAATGTGCGCAGCGAATACAAAAAGAGCTAACATTATTGAAATGTTACTTAACCAGGGAGTCGATCTAAATAACACTGATATAGATGGGTTTAATGCATTGATGATTGCGTCGAATGAAGGCGACAACGAAACAGTGAAAATGTTGCTTAATAAAGGAGCCAATTTAAATCAAGTTAACAAACGTGGTGAAAATGCATTAATGCTTGCTTCTACAGCTGGCTATGAAGAAATTGTTGAAGTGTTGATAGAAAACAGAATCGATTTATATCAGGTCAATAAGGATGGTTATAATGCTTTGATGCTTGCATGTTTTAAGGGATATAGCAGGGTTATTGATTTGTTAATTAACGGAGGAATCAATATTCATCAAGTCAGTAAAGATGGGTTTAATTCGTTAATGATTGCATCGAATGCGGGCCATGAAAAAATTGTAGATTTACTTATTAGAAAGAGATGCAATGTAAATCTGATAAATGAAAAAGGAAACGATGCCTTAATGCTGGCGTTAATAAAGCGTCATTACAGTATTTTGGAAATACTAGTTAAGTGCGAAGTTGATTTAAATCGTGTATACAATGATGGAAATACTATTCTAATGACTGCATCTTATTACAACCAAATAAAAGCAGTTGAACTATTTCTGAGTTGTGGATGTGATGTAAATCATGTAAACAAATATGGTTTTAATGCTTTAATGTTAGCATCTTCCTGTAGCAATGTTGAAATCGTTAAATTATTGATACATGAGGGATGCAATGTAAATCAGACAGACATGTTTGGTCAAAATGCATTAATGATTGCTTCACTATCAAAAAATGACAACATATTACGTTTACTACTGGAAAATGGTGCTGACATAAACAGTGCTAATAAACAGGGTGAAAATGCTTTAATGATTTCTGCAAGAAATAATCAGTGTAGTGTTCGAATGTTGAACTGCTGTTAGCAAATATTTATTGTTTTAAAGAGTCTACTGACCAACAAACTAACAGTTTAACAGAAAAACAATGTATTACTAGAATCGAATTATGTTTTATAGCATTTTGCAATCGTAATCTGCAAATTATAAAATCGTGTAGTAAAAATCTAGAAAGTAATCCCTCTACATCATCACCAAACACACTCATGGAGTTTGAGAAAAAAATGTACGATGAGCTACTTAAATTCTGGTCGGATCAAACAAGTGAGTAACATATTAGTTGGTTGGTTGGTTGATTGGTCGTTTGGTTGATTTGATTGGTCGGTTGGTTAATTAGTCGGTTGGTTTATTGGTAGGTCGGTCGGGCGGTCGGTCAGTCATTTGTTTTTCCTTAGTTCGTTCGATCGTCATATGTTTTATATTAATGTTATCGTGACAATGGACCCGCTTACCTGTCAATGCTAGTAATTTTATTTTTAAAAGAAATAATAAGCAACAAATAACAATCAATTTAAAAACTTTAACTTTTGTCCTAAGATCTTTTGACAAAAGTTTGCGCCTAAGTAAAAATAAAATGTTTTAGCTTTTAGTATTTTTAATTTTCTTATTGTTTTCTTATGGTGTACTACTTACACACCTCTACTGTATAAATTAAATATATATATACATACATATATATATATATATATATATATATATATATATATATATATATATATATATATATATATATATATATATATATATATATATATATATATATATATATATTTATATTTATATATACTAGCGATCCTGTTTCCTGCGCTAACGTGGGCTGCTACAATGTTTTAAGAATATAACATCTTTGCATTACACATTGTGTATTTTTAGGCGCGTAACCTTGTTTTAGGGACATGTATCTTTACAGTTCGTCTAAAATTTGGGATAAGGTTAGGGATATGTGCTAGGCATAGGAAAATTAGAATGGATCGTGAAAGAGATCGTTATTAGGATAATTATACTTATACAGATTGGGAAAAGGTTTATGTGTTGGAAGGGCCTATGCGTGTTTATGGTTATGGTTTTGATAGGTTCTCATTTATTTTCTGAAACGTACATATTTTCATTGAATTGAACATGTATATATTCCTAAAAATCAGAACGTCGTTGTGTATATGCAACTAGTATAAAGTTCGCAAAAACTAATGTAATGTTTATTCATTTTTACAATTTAAGCTTTCAAAAATGTGCCTTCGGTTTACGACAAAAAAGAGCAATTATTAGAAAAACAATCAACCGTCAATATGCCAAGGTAAGTTATAACGTTATTTTTTTTGTTTTACACTGTATGTTCGATTAGACTAATGCATTAAAGTTAGTAGTAGGAAATTTAATAAATTTCTTGACCAATATGTTTTCTTTTTTTTAAAGATCGTTCCTATTTTTGGTGTCTTTTTTGTGCAATATGGAAGAATACCTGGTAATGTTTACAATTTACCTTGTTTAGATAGTTCACTTTACATCTTAATAATAAAAATAATTTTAAAAGACAAATTGTAACTAACTATTATCCATTGCATTTTAAATTCCAACATCGTACTTTATTTGGCATGAAATATTGGTATATTTAAATTTAAAATAAGTGAGCGTTTATAGATATGATGATGAAGTAATTTGATGCACTTTTAATATAATTTAATTTTCAAAACAAATTAAACACTTAATAATGAAAATGAGTAAATCAGATATTTATTTGAAAATACCTTTATTATTCACAATAACGCATTTTAATTAGTATATTTACATACCATCCTTTTGTCCATTTTCGAGACTTAAAGGGGCAGTAAAACCCAGACTAACAGAGAGAAACAAAGTAATTCGCCAAACAAACAGCTATTAGAAATACACAGGTCAAATTTTTAAAGTGGTAATTGAGATTCTACATCTTTAATACAGCAAGTTATTTTAGGCCAAAAACATTCTGATAATTGTTACGCCAATATTTGTATAAATACTTAATCTTAAATTACTTTTCAAAACTGTACATGAAGTATTTAAATCTCGGCATACAATTTCCTAAAATTATTATCTACAGCATGAACTATCATAGTAATAAAATAATTCAATTTCATTATTTAAATCTAGTTTTTATGCCATTATACTTTCTTCGTTTAATTACTCTGTACACACTTTATGATCATGTGTTGAAATTGTATAAAACTGCAACATAAATGACAATTATTTTGTTTTCTTTTTATCTTTAAAATTAAGAAAAAAAGAAAAAGAAAATACAAGAAAGAAACGTGGTGGTTTTTAAAGGGGAAAATGTATTATTTAATGTGTCTCAGTTTAGGCCGCCTACATAACAACATTTTTGCTTTTAATATTTATTTATTATCATTCTCCTTCTTAGTGTAACCCTCACTCAGTGGGGATGCTTTTACCAACTGAGGTGTTGTGTTTAAGACGGGCTGACCCTGAGATTAATTTTAAGAACACACTGACACCGACAGTTGTTGTCAAGTACTCGCTTTATTTACAGCATCGAGCCATGACGGCGATGCAACACAGTAGTACGACGATTTCAAATAGAAAATACTGAAGCAACAGGAAACCAAGAAAAAAAAAAAAACTATAGCCCTAAAACAAAAGTAAAGAAAAAGTTACATTCCTGACAACACCACGTGTAGGCTACAATATACACGGGTACAATAAAATATGTTGCGGCCAGTACACACTACTGCCAACAAGTACCAATAAGTAGTACTACAAATAAATACTTATATTAATACTCACCCTAACTAGTGTGCACATGCAGCACTAGCAGGAATACACAAATAAGTATTTTAACAAACATAATTTATGTAACTACACTACCTTCATTAGGTCTATATTTTGGTCACCATGTCCACAGACAGCAGGCTTGCGTGTGACTGACACGGCTAGGCATGAAACTACCCACAGTCCCATGTCACATGACATGGGACACAGGTAACATCGCTCACAAGAGAACGGAAAAAAAAAACTAAGTCAACAGGGCCACGACCCCACAGGGGCCGCAACTCAATGAATTAAAACTTCATATTTTTCCCTCCCCTGGCTGGTAACCATATGTGTTACATTAGTCCAAATTTATTTAAACACTAACTATAACCCACCACACCAAAAAATTACTTTTTAAAAAACAATGTTTCTCTAAAGGAGATTGCAACACCATCTAATTGCATATTTACATTTGCAGTGTTTAAAAAGAGCATTGAAATGAGACATTATGTATTATGTATTAGTAAACCATCTAAAGTAAGAGTACATGTCAGAAAGAAGTATTACTTTAAATCTGTAACGGTTCTCACAAGCCGATGATGAAAACTAAATATTACTGTTTAACAAAATACTAAAGAAAGGGTTAGATCACTGTTTTTCTCACACACATCTTTACTGGTAACTACCTGTTTTAAAACGTTATAATTCTGATTTTTTTAAATGCGTAGAAAAATAAATAAATAGGAAAGAAAGTAAAAAATAAATAAATAAATTGCAAAGTAAAGTCTGCAGCGTGTCTGCCAAAAAAAGATTGCATTTTCAAATGTTATATTTAGCTGGGTATTTTTTCAAATATTTTCGTCTATATTTCATTGTCAGTGTGATATTGCCCCCTTAACGTTAGGGATTTTTATAACAAGTGTATGTCGCATGTAATATTAATTTAACTAAAATAAAAGTTAAACTGTTGTAATTAACTTACCCTTTTTTCCCCAGAACCAACGATTTGAAATTCTGTTGGACATTGTCGGAGAACTACTGACTGAGTTCAGTAACACTAAGCATTTTGATGTATTCTACTTCTACATGCTTCAAAAATGTCTTAATCTTATATACATTGCCATATTAGCGCACGATGATAACAAAGCATCAAGGTTTTTGTCAATGCTTCTTGAACGTGATTATGCTGGTATCTAATATGATCTTATATATAGCCTTTTTTCCACTCTCTCTCTCTCTCTCTCTCTCTCTCTCTCTCTCTCTATATATATATATATATATATATATATATATATATATATATATATATATATATATATATATATATATATATATATATATATATGTATATATCGCAAAACCGTCCAACTCCGAAAATGTAAATTTTACAAAGGAAACAAGAACTGATTATTAAAGTCTCGATCGCTCTAATTAAAAATTCTTGTATTTATATGTGCTAATAAACTCTCTACCAACTATACTGTAGCGTTTTAAAACGAGTTTTGCTAATACTTTCAAAAGTGTAGTGTATCATTGCAAAAATAATGAATTACTGAAAAGTAGAAAATACAACAACTAAATAGCGCCGTAAGCTACGCCGAGTGTCGTCTCGTATATATATATATATATATATATATATATATATATATATATATATATATATATATATATATGTATGTATATATATATATATATATATATATATATATATATATATATATATATATATATATATATATATATATATATATATACCAGGACTGCACCGACCTCTATGAGAAACCTATCTGAAGAGGACCATGACTTGTTTGTTTATTAAGGAGCATATAAATGGCATTTCCCGGGTTTAGTAAATATATTACTTTTCGAATTAATCCTAACCACAACCAACCAAAACCAAAACACAAACGAAAACAAAAACGCGAACACAGACACAACCCTAAACAAAAACACAAACACAAACGCAAACGCAAACATAAACGCAAACAAAAACACAGTACATAAACACTAACTTAAATGCAAAGATAAAAGAATTATGCTCATATTATAGGGGCTTCTAAACTGGTATTGATTAAAAATAACAATTAGTAAACAGTACTTCCAGTGTATAAAATCAATAAAAGACAGTCACGTTCAATAGACGCGCAATGGTTTTTAGTCATGTAACACTATTGTAAATAAAACATGTAAAGTACTGAAAAAAAAATTCATAAAAAACGTTTTAATAACAAGCTTTTATGTAATGATGCACTAAAAAGTAGAAAATAAATTATACACTACTATTTAAATTACTATAAAGAAAAGCGTGGGTTTCTTCTCAAATATTAGTAAAGGTATCCAATAGGTACTAAAGTACTAAAGTGACCCACGCTTTTCTATATAGTAATTTATATAGTAGTGTATAATTTATTTTCTACTTTTTAGTGCATCATTACATAAAAGCTTGTTATTAAAACGTTTTTTATGAATTTTTTTTAACATTTTAATTGATTAGTTTTATTTAACCCTACTGTTATTAAAAATGAATCCATTATTCTATGTATGTAAGGAAAATTTTATTTAACATTGATCCGTTTAATATGTTCTAGCAATGTGTGTGCATTTAATACTTTCTTCACGTTCAGTTTTTTACGTATGCAGAAGAGTAAACTTTGCCGAGTATCGAAACCGTTAAGTCGTTATATAAATAAACCCTACTCCATTAATTAAAATATGATTATTCGATGCAAGTAAGATCACAGTATGTGGTGTTTACTTTTATGATTTTAGTCTATAACGATGACGAAAGGACTGACACACTACCTAGCCGCTTATATTATAGATATATATAAAATATATATATAGTCTGTATTTAATAATAAATATATTTTTGAGAGCGATGTGTTATGAAAATCAAGCACATTAGAAATTAAAGCAAATAGTGTAATATTTATAGTTAAACATGTGTAAATGCACAGAATTTTAGTTAGTTTTTTAGTGGGAATATATTTTTTTTACTCAGACAGTCTCACTAGAGATAAATCAGAAAAGGCATGCTAAAAGTTGGAGAAATACACCAACATTACAATTAAAAAGTATCAAACACAAAGTAGCTCTTAATAAAATATACAAACTCACAATCGTGAAGTATTAAATATTACTAAAATATACATTTTGATACGAGGCTTACTTTGATAAAAGATATGGGCCTTGGTATAAACAAATCTTAGCTCCGCCACATACATTTATATTCACATAATTATTACTGAAATTGTAGGCTTTTTGATAGTACTTATTTACTAACACCGGTCAACCCTGCTGTGGTAAGGGCCGCCAAACACGCTATAGTTATCTGTACCGAATAGAGTCGGCCTCTAGTTCTCGTCACTTTGTTGTTCTTGTGAGGCATTTCCTTTGCATACTTTGTGTGTTCAGGGATTGATGATGATGATTCTTCATGATTTTCGTAAAGCACTTTCTTCATTTCCTTGTTTCTTCCTCCACTGGAATTGGTCAGGTGTTGATAAATGCCTTCCTCTGGGGTAATTTGGTTGCTCTCCGAAATTCCGTTTCAAACAACAAAACATAATCTAGGATGTCAAAAATCTATATCTAGAGGTTCATGTCTGTTTTTACTGGATGAAATAGTTTTTGCCTTGCCTATCCTTTCTTTCACACCTTGTTCGTCTATTATTCTACCGATGTAACTAGCAATGTAATGTGTTCACCTCCACAAAAAATGGCCTTCCATATTACATAACTGCTTCATTGCCAGTGAAGTTTGTCTTTTTGAAATTTGTCGTTTGCTTCGATGTTTTTTCACTTGCATTTGCTGTTGGCTGTGTGAGAGAAGTGCAATGTCGTCCGATGTCTCGGTTTTTGAGCTGATTTTTCAGCGGATAAAGTCCTGTTTCCAGTTACATTTCATTTTCTGTTAATTATATTCAATTATATCTTTTGTTTTCGGTTAAAATTTCGGCTATATTTCAGTCCATAAAAAGACTCCAGTTTCGTGTTTAATTTCTGTCTCTCTTGATACAGTTCCATTTTTAAAATTACATTTCGTTCCGGTTAAATTTCTGTTTCTGGATAAATGTTCATTTTTGTTTATATTTCAGGATTCTGTTAAACCGCCGGTTTTGGTAAAATATCATGTTCCGGTTCCATATAAACCTCTTGTTTTCTGAAATAATTTCTGTAAGGGCTGCGTAAGAGTTTCAACTTTAGTACCACTTCCACACTGATACCACTACCGAATTCACGAGCAGGATTGAATAACTTGACCGCAGCCCAAGTATCTTTCATTTCCAGGTGTATTTATACTCTTAGCTTACATCAATTCAATAAACAATTGAAATAGCCAGGACAAGACACAGTCTCCTTCTGTCATCAAAGATTAGACTCAATTAACTTACATATGCCGCGGACACATAAATAGATAAACTCTACTTCCTCTTCCTGCTAAATCTTCAGGTCCGAAAAAGCATAAAAAGCCCTTTAGAAGAAAACGGGTATTCTGTTAGGCAAGGCTGATTAATTTCTTACTTGTAACTGAGTTAATTAGTTAGTAAATAACAGATTATGAACGCTTTGTTTAATCGCTCATCTAAGCGATTTCAATTAAATAAGCAAATATTCATTTTGGGCATACTTTAATCAAATGTTCTTTTATATTAATGAAATTATAATAAGTTACGCTTATGACTAAAAGAAATTACAACTATGTAACCTATACTAAAATTAGTATTCCGATAAAACTTAAAAAGTGTCATTTTTTTTCTCCTAAAATAAGTATAAAATTCCAATGAAAATATAACTTTTGAGGAAGTTACATTTCAATTTCTTTTAAAATTACAGATAATAATATTCTGTTTCCGTTCAAATATCTTTTCCTGTTAGATTTCCGTTCCCGTTTGAATTGCCGTTCCCTATTAAATATCCGGTTTCGAAAAAAATCAAAGTCCGGCTAAAATCCATTTACGAAAATAATTCCGGTTTTGGATGTATTTCTAGTTCCGTTCCAATTAAAGTTCCGAATTCGGTTTAATTTTCGGTTCCTAAGAGACGTACAGTTACTTTTGTAGTTCTGGATAAAATCCAGTTTTGCAAATATATCCAGTTCCTTTTTCAATCCAGCTAGGAAAACTTTCTGTTTCCGGAAGAATATCCCGGTTCCGGTCAAATTTCAGTTCCAGATTAGATTAAGTTTTGGGTTCCTGAAATACATTCCGTTTCAGAACAAATTTACTGTTCTGGAAGATTTTTCGGTAAACTTTAATATAAAAAAATATTTTATTTATTTTCGGTTCCTTTAAAATTTTCTGATCCTTTGAAAAAATTCCAGTTAGTTTTAAATTTGCGGTTAATATTACATTTTTATAATTATTATTAGGTTGAATTTTAGATTTAGGATTTGGTTGTGTTGGGGATTTTAATTTTGGATTTGATCTAGAGAAAAAAATCACTACCAACTTCTCTCTCAACGAGCCATTTATCATTTTAATATTCTGTCTGATTTACTATTTGACAATAATGCTCTGGAGAAATCATACAGAAAACATATATCACACGTAAAATAAATCAATTAAAAACGCAAAATCAGTAGCATCACATTCTAGTTATAAAATTAATTGCCTAATATTAGAAACTAATGTAGATATATCAAAAAGTTAAGCGTTAAGAATAGGATTAAGGTTACGGTTAAGGTTATGGATACGAATAACCAGATTACGTTTACCATTAAATTTCCGATTAATGTCAAAAGACCCTTTACAGTTATATTTCCCGGTCTTGTTTAAGTTCTGATTTCGGTTTAATTTCAATTTCAGGTTTTTTTTCTCCGATCAAGGTTACGTTTCAGGTTGCATTTTAGTATCCCAATAAATATCTATGTCCATTGCTAACTTTCGTTTTCGCTTATATATCATTTCCGGCGAAATTAGTATTTTCTGTTACGTTTTGAATCAGTTTAAAAGGCCAGATTTTAAAAGTTCTATTTTCGGCTAAACTTCACATCTGCCAAGGTTCTTGTTTTGGTTTAAATTCCGGTTCCGGTTAAAATTTCAATTTCCGGATAATTTTTCCGTTTGCTGATAAAATTTGTCTTTATTTATTTTCAAATTGAATATCACAGGTCCTATTTAAAAACCTAGGTCCAGTAAAATTTCCGCTCTCAGTTAATGTACATTTTACTTTCGAATTTCCCGTTTGAACTTTCT